TGTTGTTAAACAATCAAACAAATAATTTAACCTTATATGTCAAACAATTATCAAAGGCCACCATTAAGACCAACTACACCTTATAGTTATCACCAAGGAATACCAAAAATAATCACACCTAGAGTATTAACCATACCAAACCAAAGACCAATAGTACTATATGTACAACATCAAAGACCAATTATACCAAGGCCACCACAACAACAACGAATTAATAATCAACTTCGATACCTATTAAACCAACAATATGGTATACCCATCCAGCACCTTAAAGGCCATTACCGCCACCTAATACAGCTTCAAGAAGACTACCAGCAATACCAAAGAAACCTAAATTTCTCAAAAAGAGATAAATAACAAATATTAACAACGATAATCAAAGACTTATTGAAGTATACAGAGCAATAGTCACAATACTCGTAATAATATTAGTAATAGCATTAATATTCATAATCTTGAAATTACAAGAACAAAAGAAGAAAAAGAAATTGTCAAACAGACAACGAGTTATCAATAATCAAACACTTGAACAAGTAGCATTTTCAAACTTACCAAGTATAAACTGAACATTTGAAACAGGATACTAAATAATATATGTCAGTAATACAAATATCAATCACACCTTCAACAATAATCAGTACAATATTTAGTATCATAACTGCAACATCAACACTTTCTTACACAACACAATCACCTGGATATCTACAAGATACTAACGTAATCGATATATTTGTAGGAGAAGTAATATTTGCAATAGTAGTATCAATAACAACAGCCATATTTATCTGCAAAAACAAAAATCACAGAAACAAATTGATAGCTCTTAAAAAAGAATTTGAAGACCAACAAATAGTTAATCAAGTCCAAGCATTAAGAGAAACAACAGTTTAACTGTAGATAACTAAAGTAAAGACAGTACCTTAATGATTATAACAAGTGATCATGCAATATCATCAATCAACGCATCAATCACATGGATGAACAACATCATAATAGTGTTAGCAGCATCAGAGAAACCATTTACATATCTCAACCAGACTATACAACTAACTATTATCTCAATTGCAATAGTAACAACAATATCAATAATTGCAAACACAATAGTATGAGCAAAAGAAATAACTGCAATAATAAAGAGAGCAAATAAATTGAATGAACTACCAAGATAAGATCAACCAGATCAGAAAAATAATATCTAACAATAACGAATATAAAGAAATAGTTATCTCAGTCCTAGAAGAGAGAAAACAAGAAATAATTAAAGAAAAAGAAATTCCAAAACAAATAAAGATTAAAACAGAAGTATCCCCAATACTTAAACAAAGCCTATCAGTACAACAAGTATCAGAATTATACGTATACTTAGAATATAAAAGAAAATTCAAACAAGAAACGTTACCAATAAATAAATTAATATACTTAGCTACAAAAGCAAAACAATATAACGAACTACAAAAATTTATCGAAAGTATACTAGAAAAAGCACCTTATATAATAAAGAAATAATTAATGAGCTACAGAGAAATAGAAACGAATTATATATTAAAGTTTTCCAACAATATTTTAACGATTATCCAAACCCTCCAACAGACGATCAGAAAATAAAATTACAAAAATATCTTAGGGAACTAGACCAAAAAATTGAAAACTTCTTAAGTAGACAATTACAAACCAGAAGAATATCAGAACCAGAAACTAAAAGGTTCAGAGATAAAAGAACTTATCGAATAAAATTCCAAGTCGACAACATATACAGAGAAGAAGAATATAATCCAGAAGAAATAACTAAAGAAGAAATAACAGTATACTTATTATACTCATTAATATTAGGAAACAGTTCTAAAGTGAAAGAACAATTAGACATAATCGAAAAGAAATCATTCAATGTAATTAATTGGCTAAAACTTACTCAGTGTACTTATCAAGAAAAGCTAACAACAATATTACCAGAAGACTAAAATGGCAACAGAATTCAAAGCACCAAAAAATCTTAACCAGATAGCAACTCTTATACCCGAATTCGATAGAACAGTTGAAAAATATGGGCTGTCAATAGAAATCAAGCAAATCTATATTTGAAAAAAAATCAATGCCTTAAATTTCATAGCTCATAACTCAACGAATTTTAAAGCTATTTTAATACTTTAATATTCAAAAGAAAGCTTATGATCTAAGCTTTCTTTTGAATATTAAAATATTAAAATAGCTTTAAAATTCGTTGAGTTATGAGCTATGAAATTTAAGGCATTGATTTTTTTTCAAATGTAGATTTGCTTGATTTCTATTGACGGCTGCCCATATGTGTAGTATTAATTAAAAATATAGACCAAAGACGGTAGTGAAATGGTTGTATTAGCTGAAAAATAGGGTTATTGATTAAGAATTAAGAGTGAAATTTCCCTTTGATGGGTGCAAATACGAGTAATAACCAGAGAAATACATGTGGTATTGCTTATTTATAATGTATCTTGGGTAATTGCATCTTGAGCAAAGGCAATAATAATTAAAAATAGGATTTCTACTTGAATAAAATAATTAATAACGATAAAAGATAATTAATGAAGATAGTATATAAGTTTCGTCTACTTTATGAATTCGTTGATCCGATTGGTTAATTATCACGGGCAATCACGGGTAGATCTATAAAAATTAACCAATCATATGAACGTCTTCCTATGGTATATGAGGCGCTTACGAAATTATAAACCATTTTGGCCGGCATTAACTGATCGAAAACTTTATTGTTTAAAATACAACACTTGAAGACTTCTCGCAAGTATTAAATAATGTCTGCACCGCCAAGCGCAACAGTATATGGTGCTCCACCTGCCTTCGGCCATCCCCAGCCAGGAATATCAAACATTTCCAAACAGCCACCATGTACCACGCCGAATAATACTATTTACATCAACAATCTGAACGAAAAAATAAAACTGACAGGTAATGCTAGTTGATTTCTCTTAGATTTTGTTCTGTGTAATTAAAAAAGAATCATTTTTATCAGCCCTGAAGAATGCCCTAAAAGCCATTTTTGAGCAGTATGGAGAAATTTTAGAAATTTCAGCACGGGATACTTTAAGAATGCGTGGCCAAGCATTCGTGGTCTTTAAAGAACAAGAGAGCGCAATTAACGCAGTTAAAGGGGTTCAAGGGTTTGCGCTGCATGGAAAGCCAATGGTAAATATCGAGTTCAGCTCTTATTTAATCAATTATTCATATACCATTTTGTTATGCATGAAGGTTATACAGTTTGCAAGAACAAAGTCAGATGCAATTGCGATGCTGGATGGAACTATTGAGGAAAATAAAAGATTAAGACAGGAAGCTAAAGGTAGCTATTAAGTCATATGTAATGCAGTAAAAAGCGAAATATAATAATAATTTCCGGCGTCTTTCAGAAAAGCGTGCTAAAGAGCCTCCTGTAAAGAAATTCAAGCCAAGTAATGTATCACAATTTCAATTGGGGCCATCAAATATTCCTGGCGGTAAGTTTCGTTATTTCATTCTATAGTTACGTAATACTCACTTTTTTCTTTACTTATTTACTGTATTCATTATATTTTAGCATCAATGTATCACTTCGGACATCAAGTTCCTGCGACTGGGAATATTCCAGATGAATATCTTCCGCCCAATAATATTCTCTTTCTTCAAAATTTACCGAGTGATATAACAGGAGCTATCCTTACTTCTTTATTCGAACAGTACGTTGTATTCTATGTTTAAACGTAATTCTATTGGTAATTAATTCTTGTTTCACATATTATATCATATAATTAGGTATCCTGGGTTCAAAGAAGTTCGTTCAATTCATCCAGCAAAGGGTATAGCATTTGTAGAATATGATAGCGAACCTCAGGCCATGATTGCAAAAGAAGCTTTAACTAATCATCCTATAACTCCTGATCATAAGCTCAAGATTACATATGCAAAAAAATAAAATCTAAATGGATGATACATTTTCTATATCTATTTAAATTATTTTTGTAGAGATCAAATTTACATTGACTATGTATTCTTGCGTGAAATTGTTGATCATGTTGATTTATAAGGTACGTCGAAATACATTTAAAAATTTGATAGATTAATTACTAATTATTTTTCCAAGATGCCAACGGTTCTGTGTGCGTATTGTAATACTTACTTACACCTTTATAACAATGCTGAAAATATCATTTGATTATTAGTCGTAATTTAATAACCATATTTTATATTTATACCGATTTAAATTATGGGTAAAGTACTTCAACATGTGGTAAGCTATTTTTACCTTACGATATTATAAATAATCAATTGAGTGATAATATTTATAGTCAAATTTTTATTATTAAATTTATAAGATAAATAATGAATAGTATAGGTAGCGATCTTTCTTTTTACAATACTGTGAAAGCGTTATTTCAATTTGATTGTTGACTTTTAACCGATTAAGTTAACGTAAAAGTTCGCTGCCATTAGTCCAGGGCACGGAAAATTTTGGAAATAAATTTTTTCAGGATATATGTGATTTGACCAATAAAAATAGATCAAATGCATGTGCCTAAGCCAACAAAAATATGTTAATTCACTATAATGATATTTTACTGTATTCCTCTAACAATAAGCACCATTCAAAAAATAAGCCCTCCTAGCCCGCATTATCCGGAATTTGACCTGAATCATAAGTTTATATTTATGTTGTTTTTTGACAGATTCTAGAGCAGTAGAGTTAAAAGTTATTTATTATGTAATATTTTTTACTGCTATTTTTATTTATGTACTGTATGATGTGATTACTCTATCTTAATTTTAATTAGTAGTTAAATAATTAATATTATATACTATATATATAGTATATATATACAGTATCAGTACATATCTGATATATACTACAGTATACAGTATATATATTAAAAAATTATTTTAATATTTAAAAAAATACATGTATACAGCATAACAACTCAAAATTTTGCTTATAAAGCTATTCTTCGGGTTATATATATATATACTGTATAACAAAAAAAAAGTTTTTTAGTATATACGTACTGTATAAACTACTCTTTAACTTCAACCCTAACACTAATCTATATATATTTTAATTTTTTTTCTTCAAATTTTGCATATATCGATCTACATTATATAGTGTAAATTTAGAAATTCTCTAATATATATATACGTACGCAGTAAAAAATAAATTTTATATAATTAGTTTACATTTAAAATACCGAAATAGGAGTTTTATATTATCAAACTTCACCTATTAAGTAAAGTTATTAAAAATACCTATCTTAACCTTTTTCTGATAGGTTTTACATTTATACATATATTTTAGCGTGGTATGTGAATCTTGCACTAATATACATTTGTGTTGAAACATATAAACAAAAAAGACCTATTAATGAAATTTAAAAGTAGATATATATTCGATTTTACTTAATAGAGATAAGTGAAATTCGACTGACTTAATAAAAAAATTCCTTACAAAATACTCAATTCGTCATTTTACCCCCATAATATCCACACTTACCATATGTATAAAAAATTTTCGATATTTTTTTTTTGTACAATAACTTCTCTTTACGTATACGTTAACGATAATTACGGATTTGTAAATTTCTACTATGATATAATATAAAGATATAAGCTCTACGTATACGTATTCGTATTAGATAACAGATAATAAACAAAGAATTTGTAATAGTTTAATATTGTATATAAATAGAAAGTAATCGATTGTAATTATGCATGTAACATCTAAATAACCAATAACAACCGATGGAATTAAGAATGTAACACGTGATAATATTCATATTACTGTATTTATATACTTATTAGCTTAATTAGAAAAGAACATACGTACGTACCAGATACCTATACCTATCTGCTATATACCTATATATCGATATGTAATAAAAGGATCTAATTACGATTATAATAGTTACAAGAAGGGTTTTAAAGAAATCAAAGATTTTTGATTAGTGGTAAAATAAGTGAGCGGTAAGCCTATTCATCACCGATATTATAACAAATCCATTATCCAACCTCCTGGATATTTAGTGTTATGAAATCAGAGATCAGCAGTGTTTATGATCTCACTTAAAGTGTGGCGATCAGAATAGGTCATGAGCAAACGCCCACTCCGAACGGTGATTATCGAAAGAGTTGGTTGGTGAGCTGGGGATTTGTGTTACAAATCTGACATATTACAATCGAACCATGCAAATGCCCGCCAATCGCCCGCCTTCGAGATTAGAAAAGTATAAAATGTGGGGTTGGAGTGAGTTGCACAGAGGTCTCTATCGAGTCCCATCAATCTGCTGCGGAGACTTATTAGTCCTATGAGGCTAAAATTTTCCCAGGGTTACCAAACGTCCTTCTTTGGAAATGGTCCTCGGTGTTATTTTTTAAGTCAATCCGTCTTTTCTTCTATTAACATTCATATTATTATTTTTTCTTCTTCTCGCCTCGAGCTTCGTTCGTTGTCGCTTCTTTTCTTGTTTACGATCTTACTTGGTTATTTCTCCTACGTATTATCCACCCCCCTCATTAACCTCACGCCACTCCAGAGCCTTATAAAAATTATTCCTTTATCAAATAAACTTCCATATAGACCTTATTAAACCTCGTTTCTCGGTGTCTATATAGTTGATTGTCTCGTAGAACATTCTTTTTACCTCCAACACTTTTTTAACCACTCGCAACTTTGTTGCTTTCCTTGATCACTGGTTTATTACAAACACGCGCATTACCTGAACTTATTGTTAAGCATTGAAAGCATATTGCCGTGGGAATAACTCCTTTGGCAACTTTTATCGAGCTTGTGTTTGTCACATAACCCCTTTCAGAATTTTTTGGCTTAGTTTTTCATAATGTCACAGCATGCTTCACCTATATCAGCCTTCACCGAACTCGGTGCTACTTTTCAAGAAACTATTACAAATGAAAAATTATCTATGGTTGTCGGTCAGCGACATAAACCTACCATGACGAAGAAGAGGACTTCCAAACAAGAAGACTCCGACGAAGACGACGGATACTTGAATGAACCGGTGGCTTATCGTCCTTATCCAGTTACCAATACGAAAATTAAAAAGACAAAGTACTCCACTTCTCTAGATCCCAGAGGGTATATTCCCGGTAAGTTACTGCGCGTAACTTGATCCTTTTTAATTTTTATATGCAGTTAACTATTTTTGTTAATTATTTTTGTTAAATATACAAATCAAACGTGTTAATCATACTTTTATAATCTAAAAATTAGTATATGAATTCACTATTAATAACCAACCTATTATGTGGGATCGAGAGAACGGATACGTTCACTTCACGGGCATTTGGAAAGCCCTTGGGAATAATAAAGCCGATATTGCTAGGTTAGTGGATACCCACCCTGATTTGGCTTCAACAATCAAGAAGGTTAGAGGTGGATTTCTCAAAATCCAAGGAACCTGGTTTGTAATTCGTAATTAATCAAATGCTATGTTATATAAATTTGAATTTTTCTTATATAATGAATTATTAAATATAATTAATATATTTTATAAATTAATCTAATTTATATACATATATAGGATGCCACACGATAAAGCATATGAACTATGTCGCCGAACATGTTACGAAGTTCGTGATGAACTCGTTTCTTTATTTGGACCTGATTTCCCTTCTCAAGTTTTAGATCCGACGCAACCAGGATATGGTCGCCTCACACTCTCTGATTCTGTACCAACTAAAAAACGCCAAAGGCGCAAACCGAAGGATGTGTGTATTGATACCACTCCATCTACAAATAAGGGCAAGACTAAGACTATCATCAAAATGATGGCTTCTCCAATCGATGATAATACTAGTGAACTTGCTCACGATATGATGCATGATACCCGTGTTATTAATGACCGAGTTGCTGATCAGCATCTTCATAATACGGGTTGTCAAGTTCAAGAGAATCATCGTCACTTAGTCATTCTTCGTAAACAAAAACGTCCGGCTGATGACATACATCTTGTTGATTCGGAAAATCAATCAATCTCTAAACGAAGAAGGCATCATTCTCCTGAAAATGGTAGTCTTGGTGATGATGAAGATTCTTCCTCTGATGATGGTCTCGCTCCTTTGGTAATTAATCGTCGTGGCTCGGACTCCGCTTATTCTAGTGCTTCTCAACATCATGATCAGCATCAATTTTCTCCTGTTGATTCATCTTTGCAAAAGACTCACCGTGAAATTATTCATTCACCTCGTTCTTGTTCTATTTCTCCTACCTTTACACCTTCTGTTATTGAACCTGCCCCGATGACTAACTTTTATAACCCTTACCCTCCTCCAACTATACATCCCACATACACTAATCAGCCTCCATCACCTTTGACAGAAAGTGATCTTTATGAAGCAATTAATGCTACCGTCGCTTTACAACAATTGTCCCAAGACGATGGCGCCCGTCCGCTGCGGAAAGATTCAACTTGTAACGCTTGGCCTCGAAGTTTCATTATGGGTAATCGTGAATTTCAATTTATTGGCTGTCGATATCGTGTTGTTCGTTATTGGTAATGATATAATAGGTTTATTTTCTGCTTGGAATTTGAGTAGAACAACTGTTGATATCGAGGGATTTCTAAAAAAAAAAAACAAAAAAAAAAACAAAAAAAAAAAACAAAAAAAAAGAAAGGAAAAAGAAAGAATAGATAGGATAAAGCAATTATAAGTTGAACTTTATTTGTAAATAGCTTATTTGCTTAAGGAGGGTTTGCTTAAGGAGGGTTAGAAGAAAATTCACGTGAATTGGTCACGACACGTGCTTTCAAAAAGCACTTTATTATATACAAACATCTCTTTTTTCTCTTTTCTTTATTTAGCTTAGTTTGGACAATTGTATTGCTTTTCTTGTCTGTACCAAATCTTTTTTATCTTTGTATATTTCTCTTGTTTCATATCACAATTTTAATTGTATATATATTTTTTTGTAAAACTTGTAGATATACTAGTTGTTCTATTCCTTCTTTCATTTTATCTTTATTTTTTTATTTTTATTTTTTTTTCCCTTTATGTATGCATTATTGATATATATCATTCTTTTTTTTTTTCTTTTTAAGTATAGCGGAGAACAATTGCTATTGTCGACTATATCATTAAGTAGTTTGTATATACATATCTAACGGACTTTTAAATCAATCTTTATATAACATTAAAAAAAAAATTTTTTTCTTTAAATTTGTAACTTTATTTAGTGCGAAGAGGTTAACGTATGTAAAACACCAGAATTTATCTGGTAAATATTTTAAAGAGTAATTCGCCCATAAATACAATATCCAATACAGATATTTACGTATATTACATGTAATTTCAATGTATTACATCTAACAAATTTAATAAAAATAAAGATAAAAACAAACTATTCCCAAATACTCTCAGATTTTGTATATTGATTTGTTAGATCCACTTTAATCATTCTCTTTGTAGCTTCCAGTTCTCTAGATAAATCAATACTTTGTTCTTCTAACCCTGTCATTATCAATTTCTTTAACGATCTTTTACTAGTTGCATACTTTCTAACTATTACCAAAATTTCATCATTAATATTTGTTTTTACACCATCATTGCCCAACACCAAGTATTGAAGGTTTGCTCTACATTTTTCAAGAAAGGTATTTAATTCTTGAGGTGAACATTTACAATTAATATAAACTTTAAGTAATGATGGCGGAATTGCATCTCCTAATTCCTCCATAATTTCACTTGAAGTACCAAATGAAAACAACGATGAATGAAACTCTAGATGTTCAAGCTTCGAACAATTAGTAAACATTGATATCAATCGTACTCTTTTATTATCATCTGGTAATTTATCACTTATGGTTCCACGCATTTGCATTTCCCGCAAAGTTTCTTCGCAACCCACAATAAGAACATTCATAGCATCCAGAGAGAATTTAAATCTATAAAATGCTATTTTATTAAGTCGGTGGAATTTTGCCCGATGTAGTCTTCTATCAGTTAACGTGAGAGTGCAACCTTCAAAAAGAAGTGTTTGTACATTTGATAAAGCTTCTACAATTTCATCAGCAGTAACAGATTTAAAATTAATGGTACTAAATTTGATCCAATTTAAAGAGTCAATTTGTCCAATTGATGGAATTATTGGTGCTATTTTATTACTACCCGAAGAATTTCGAAATTCAACAGAAAGTGATAACCGTTTAACTTTTCGTTGTGAAGAAAGAAACATGCATAAAGAATCCATTCTTTGATCAACGTCTTCTTCCATTAAAGTATCAGTTGAAAAAGGAATTGAATACATATTTAAGGATCGTACACTATTACAACATTTTAAAATATCTGGAAGAATATCTCTATCCAGGTTGCGAGCAATGAACTTAAATTCATCTAACTGTGAAAGTGCTTCTTCGGCGAATGGTAATTTAATTATCGAAAGATATTCATTTGGAATCGTTGGTTTCAATGTTCTTGATAAATCTAATTTTTTTAACTTTCCACAACGCGAAAGAAATGCTTTACAAAGTCCTATTGCAAGTTTAAAAGTTTGCTGTTCCACTTTATCACTATTGTTAAATCTCATATTATCATTTTCATCTTCATTGGTATTTAATTCCACCCAACATTGTGAGGAAATATAAATTAATTCAAAATTCAAATCTTTAAGGAAGCTCAAATAATCGAATAGCATTGCCGAAGGAGTATCAGATATATTGATTCCGCCAGCAATAAGATTTAAGCGTTCCTCTTTGGACAAACTATCAAGGTATACTTGAATAAGTTTACTGGAATTTTTTTTCAGAAAGTTAAAAGGTTTACTCCAAAGAACTTTTATCATCTCACGGCACCAAGAGCGGCTGACCAAAAGGCAAGAGTACAAATAATTTGAGAGATATTCATTGTCATGATTATTTTGAATAAGGTGTTCAAAAATTTCGTGAACCGTTTCGAATGGAAGTCTTTCAACCATATCTTAATAAATCTAAGTTAAAACAATCGCATTTAAATCAGTATCCCAACCGTTACACGAAATTTTCATGAATAAAAAATTCTCCATACAAACTTAATAAATCGGTTCGGTTGAGTCAAACCTTTAAAAAAATTTTAAGTATTTTTACTATCTGGGAGTTTTTTAAAAAAAAATCTAAAAAATTATATATATATATATATAAATTTTCTAAAAGCCGGGTTGCCGGGTCACTTTTAAAAAATTTTACGTATGAAAACCGCGATTTGTTAAAGTTTGTATGGCCTTAGTTACACTATTTATTAAAAATTTTTTTTATACGTATACCTTTACAGTAATTTTTCGAAGGCTTGCATAAAAGGAATTTTGTTTTCAATTCCGATCACTTTTTTATATTCTGTGCCAACAAAATTTTTACGCCTAAGTACGTAAGTACGTGATTACCCAATAAAATTCTTTTATTTTAAATTCGTCTATCGCTATATTCAGTTAGATATTAAGGTCAGTGTTTAAGGTTAGATGTCAACATTACACCAAACGAAAAATACTTTCGTGCCCCAAATCTCCGTGCCCTGCTATGCCACGTGATCCACGTCCAATTAAATTAATAGTCGTTATTCCACGCTTTTTTTCAAAAGTTTGATCGAAGATATTTCAACAACCATTCAATGAAATTTGATGAATTCAAATAAAAAAAAAGTTCATCGAATTTCATTGGGTTGTTGTCGAGTATCTTTGATCAAAGTTAGGTAAAATTTAATCAAAGGTATCTCGACAACAATTTAATGAAATCAGATAAACTTTTTTATTTGAATCTATGAAATCAGAATTCAATTTCATTAAATTGTTGTCGAGATATCTTTGATCAAAACCAGGCAAATTTTTATAGTTGCTTACATTTTGGCAGACGTTTAAACATTTCGGCGCATAGCAAAGTTTATTTTGATTGGTTGTTAAAATACCCCGGAAAAAATGTTGATCGTACCCCGGATAAATCATCGGC